ATAATTAGAACATATTCATAACATAAATTCAGCAGCACTGGCACTTTAAGACATAAATCCCGATGTTCACGGAATCCTATAAATTCCTGATTGGAGCTGTGGGTTTGTTGTTGGAGTTTTTTTTTGCCCTTCCAGGAGAGGGGGAGCCCAGGGGCATGAGGAAGCTGTGGATACGAGGCAGAGGCATTGATATTCTGTGCCCCCCAGTGAGTGTCACTGAGGCATCCYTGCACATGTTATTGATTGACAACAAAATTAGTACTCTGTGATTTGTAATTAGATGGAGGAAGCCAAAGCACTTCTGGAGGTTTTTGATGGGGTTCTCACGCAGTTATCTTAACTGRCAATAATGTTTAAATATTAAGGTAGGGAAATAAAGAGATGCTGAGAGATACTGGCAGTATATCCCCTTTTATTACTGGCTGTCTGTTCACACTTGGAAATGCAAACCTGCTCTGTACAGAGACCAAAAATAAAAAAAAATTGTGGGTAGTGCACACTATATATTTCAAGGACTTAAATGAAAATACTGATTTTTATATCCTTTATGTACATGTATTGCTATTAAAATAGCCAACCAATTTGTGCAGAACTCTAAAAAAACCTGCATAAATATGAATAAATATAGAATTTCCATGAAAAGTTCTTGTACTCGTATGTACAAGCCCATTAGAAAAATGAAAAATTAAAATTCTCTCATCTTTTCTTTAAAAACAGAGCCAAGCTGTATGAACCAAACACGTATTACAGCAATAAAACTGCAATCAATCCCACCTATCTATCTCAGAGAGGGCATGAGACAGGAAAAAGAACACCACTAGTGCTCATGTCATGAATAAATCTTAATTGAACTGTACCAAGAGTGTTGGTACAAGAGGGCTCTTACGTGTTGCTGTCCTCCGGGCCCCTCAAAGAGATTAAAATCTCTCAAGTATAGCTATTTTTATGCTCTACATTTAATAAAGGCTGCTGGTACAACTGAGAGMAAGGAAGGGCAGCTCCTTTCATCTCCAGGAGCTGCCATCAACCAACAGCAGCAACAGCAAAACCCCCACAGCTGAGCCCACCCAAAAGGCACATAACGAATTTTTGTCAGAGCTGTTTTCATGCAATTTTTGTCAATCATAAATTTAATTAAAAAAAAAAAGAAGTGCACATTTTTGAACTATGTGTGACAGGAAGTATGTGAAGCAAACTGCTAGAAACAACTGTATTCTGGAACTTATTTTACAGCAGTATTTTTTGGAGCTACGCATTCTTTTTTAAACATTTAGTTAATTTCCATATTAATTGATACGATTAACCTAGAGCTCTATTAACCAACAGCTCCTCTTTTAGGATTACCTACACTAGTGATCACACCCAGATGAGAAAAGCTTTTCTGGTACCAAGGGCCCCAAAACAGAACCCCAGACCTGCAACACACAAAGTTTATTTGCAGAAGGAATTCCACCCCCTTTTTTCCATGTCCTGGGATTACTTTGCTGCTAAATGGATTAGTGCTGTGAAACTCCTCTGGCTACTACTCCTGTGGTAGGCAAGAGAGAGCTGAGGGTACTCCCTGACATGATTAAAGAGTTGTCTCCTGGCCGACTGACATCAGGAGACGAAGACAACCGGACACAACTACTGGCTTCTAGAAAGATCCTCAAAAGCCTCAAGTGCCCACAGGGAGTTTTCTCTTCTACAGCATAACCAGATGCCCCCTGATTTTTGTTATTTGATGGTCTTGGCCATTCTTGACACAGGGGGAATGAACTTACATAAGTAAAATACACTTGTGAAGCAATGAAAATGTTTGTTTTTCTCACACATCACCGTGCTCTAGCAAATATATGSTCCTGCACCTTCAGGGGCTGTTGAGCCCTCTTGGATTTGTCATGCAGGGGGAGAAGAAATGTCCAAAAAAAGACCAGCCATATGCTGTTGTTTACTTGTGAACATTTGTGATCTGGTTTGACCACGAGCTGTCTCTTCCAGTGGTATAAATGAGGGAACAGCTGTGTTGAACATGAATCAGAAGTAATCCCTGTAATATTAGAAATGGTTTACAGTGCAGCGCATTCCTGTCAACCAGGCTGCTGCAACAGTCTGTAGACATGGAAGCAACTAACTATAATTCACAACACAATAATATTTGGCCTGCTGGCCTAATTTGAGAGCTGGGCGGTCCAGCATTATGGTGCCATTTATTCCTGAGCATATTGCCAAAACTATGCTTCATTTTACTTCAAAACAACTCAGATTTTTTTTTTTCAAGGTGTTTCAGGCTAGAAGCAGAAGCACAGAAGTAGAAGCTGTGAAAGGGTATGACTAGAGAGGGAAAAGAATTCAGTTTGCTGTCACACTTTATTCATTTATTTGTTAATAAAAGGCATGTTGAACAACCCTCACAGCCCACAAAAAAAAAAAAAAATCACAAAGAATTAGCACAGTAGCTATTGCTAAATTCTGTCTAAAAGTTTTTRTTTTATCTATGAGCAAAAGGTGCATCTTACATTAATGTACAGCAGTATTCCATGTGACACTTACAGTTCCTGTGAATTGCTCTTAGGGCTGTTTCCAGCAGCCAAAATTTAGATTGTGCTCACAAACCTTCTCCAAAGTACTCTTATTAGTAATGCAAGTAAGTGTAGGTGAATGCACAATGACCACAGGATCTGATCAGAACTGTTTTGTAACAAGAGAAAGCTGTCCACAATTGTTCCATAAAAATGTTGGCTTGCCTCAGCTGACATCTGACATCCCTCCCTCACAGCTGAAACTTTGTCTCCAAATAACTAGTTTTCAGATTTTAAGAACATAATCAAATATTGTCAAGTCCACAAAAACTCAAAAAAAGGCTTGTTACTGCCTGAATGAGAAGAGATAGTAAAAGCTAAGCTAATGAGAAAGTTATTTTATTTCCAGGGATCAGATTTTACCCGCTCACTAGAAAAAACACATAATTAACAAAAAAAAGTACTTTTAAAACTCAGATTTACAGTAGATGAGGCTTCTGAAATTTTGTATTAAAGCAGTCACCTACAGCAATTCTTACATACAGACAGAGACTGAGAGGAAGAGAAAAATGTCCAAGCCTCCAATGCCCCACTCAGAAAACTTCAGACATTGATTCCAATTCAGTTATTTCTCCTCTACAACAAACCAGAGTATGTGAGGGGCAGACCATGCGTACTGAACTTCATGCAGTGAACGATTTAATGATTTATTCAGATGATAAATATAGATAAAGGTCATGCTTTGTCTTAACATTTATTTCGTGGGTCAGAGACCAAAAGCAGTGGTGAATATTATGATYAAACATCAAAGTAAAGTAAAAATTGCTTGCAAAGTAAAAATCCAAAGGCTATTTCGGGGTGGTGTTTCCTTTCTCAKTGTGGTTAGCAAATGCCAGATACAAGCTTTTAGCTGCTTCAAGTTGCATGAAAGCATTAGAAAAAACAGAAAATACTAATTTTTGGGCTATATTTTTATTTCTGTGCTCTATTTAGAAGCAAGCCAAGCAGGCTGAAGGGCACAGAGCCTACCTCCAGGTGTTGGGCATGTGGCAGGGACACTTTTTGTCACACTTGAGTCCATAAACTCCCTCTGGGCAGAGCCTGGTCTCGCAGTGCTGGCCCGTGAAGCCCGGCTCGCAGAGGCAGGYGCCGCTGATGTGGTAGCACTTCCCACCATTCACACATTTGCAGCTCTCTGCACACAGCAGCCCGTAGCTGCCCACTGGGCACTCATCCTGGCACCTGTCAGGGAAAAAAAAAAAAACAAAAACCCAAATTAAAAATTGGTTTATTTCCCATAAACGACGCTTCTGGAGTTTTACGAGGTTTATTGGTGGAAAGTGACACTTAAATAGAGTAAAAATCTGTGGAACATGGAAAAACCTCCAGRAGCTCAAAGCCCTTCTTTTCATCTGGTTTTTCTGACAGATGAAAATGAAAATCAGTGAAGACCTGGGTTTAATGCACATGGGGAAGTAGCAATGATTTCTGTTGCTGCTAAAGGAAAATATAYCTTAAGAAAGAGACCTTTTCAACAAACCTTTCTTCTCTCGTTCACAGAGTTTTGAGAAGATAGAYACTTCAGCCAACAGACTTATTTCCTTAATTTTCTACACATGGAAGACATTGTTTAACCTAAAGATCAGTCTGTATCTTTAGCTTGACTACTGAAAAAAAAAAAGTCAGTATCGTGCTTCTAAAATTTGCAACTCATTAACTGACGACTTTCTGGATAACAATTTCATCTGGTTCTGTCTTATGAGTGATGTTTTCAGCTTTGCCTTTACTGTATTCTACAAAGGAATTGCTAAATTCTGAATGCCAGTCAAGTTACAGATTCTACAAAAACACTACTTGATAATACAGCACATTATTAATGGTTTTATTTATTTTTTGTTGCTGTTTTGGTTCTTTTTCTGTTTTTCTTATAAACTTAGCTTCATGTTTGTTTTTATCTATGACTCATGGTTCATTACATGAGAATTTCAAAGACACGTGACACTAGGAACTGCAAAATGTAACACCTTCTGCATTGTTCCTTCACAAACATAACTTTTGCACACAAATGGCTCTGGACTAATTATTTCCCTTTTTCACGAGGTCTTTTTCCATGTCGTGTCAGGCAGAGCACTCCCCACGTCCTGTGAACACTGGTGTGGGAAGTGCACATGGTTACAATACCCACAGCTGCTGGCGGACATCCCCTGGACTGACCCCAGTAATCAGGCTGCTGCTGACTCCAGAAAATCAGTTTGTGTGTGCTGCTTAAATTGCACACAGGAAACGCTCCTCCATCGCTTTCTGCTGCCTTCAAACACGATGTCTCACTCTGTCTTTCCAGTCTGCCAAAGCCAACTTGCAGCCRTCAGAAAACGAATGTTTGGTTTCATCTGAGTGGAGTATTTTAGGAGACAACTCTCCAGCCTTTGAAGAGGAACTGAACAAGCCTCCCTTGCTGCTGTGGGCACCAGACATCTGCACAAACCCACGAGCCTYCCTCTCCGCCCCTCCACCACAGGCTGCACCACTCTGCAAGACATTCCAAGGGAAAGAGACACTTGAGAAGTGCCAGGGCACAGCAGGAAAACCCAGCAATTCTCTCACAGGAAGTGTTCTTCCATATGGACTCTTTCAACTTGCAGCCCAGCATCAGCTGAATGACACAGCAAACATTCCACCATAAAAATCAGCTCTTTAAATGGTATCTCAGATACTTTCATTGTTCTTTGCACCAGCTGCTGAGCTCTCCCTGTTGTAGCAGAGCCCTGCCAGAGTGGTTTTCCTCACCGTTCCCCGGTGTAGCCTGGGCTGCAGTGGCATTGACCCGTTGCCGGGTCGCAGGTCCCTCCATTGTGGCACTGGCACTCCTGGGAACAGTTCTTCCCGTAACGACCCTCAGGACAGGGCTGACCACAGACCATGCCCTGTGAATGCAAAACAGAAATCCTGGGTTTAGAGTTGGGATTAAAGCTTGAACAGACAAAGAATGAATGAAGGAAAGCTGAGGACATCCCGGGTTACTCATCCAGTGCTGATCTTGGAAATGCTAGAACCTTCTCCAGCTTTGAGCATGAGGCATGTTCCAGCACTGGAGGAATAATCTTCTAGGATTTCCATCTTGGAAGTAAAAGCTCATGAAAAACACTCTAAGCACCTTTGGAAACACTCATACGTTTAAGACTAACTGATGTCAAGATCTAACCAATTAATTTACCAGAAGTATTACACCCAGGAATGCCCTTCAGTGAATAGAGGTGTAGGAATCAACAATTGTTCTAATGCCCCAATTATGCTACTTTCTAAAAAGCTGGGTTTTTTTTCTAATGAATGGAAAAGCTGTTTGTAATTTCACATAAAACAGCATAGCCTAAAAGCTTAGGTAAGATGATTGCCCCTTTCAATGGGTTTTGAATTTCTGCATTGCCTTTTATATCCTAGGAAATAATTACACCTGGGTAGGTGAAGGAAACATCAGAACCTAAGACTTTAAAAAAGCCTTTTCAAGAAAAAGGTATTTACAGACATTTCATTAGGCAAACAACATGCAGCAGGTCTCATGTATGCAGAATTTCTACCTGGCTACTTTACATCTTACAGGAAAAGAAAAAAAAAAGAGTTATACCAACAAAACAGTATTTCACAGAACTTAAAATTCTAAAATTAAGACAKGCTTAAATAATTACTTGGAATGGAAAATTAGTCACAGGTCTAAACAGTAATGTATTAGTTAACACACATATAAGTAAATAAAAACAAAATAAATAAAATTTTCCTTGCTGCTTCATGTGCCATCTCATTTTTTAGTAGTTGTGTTTAGGCAGATAAAGGGAGTCAAGAATTTACACAAACATTTGTATTCTATGACTAACAATGCTGCTCTTTTAGTGTGAAATGGAATAAGAAGTAAAAACGGCCATAAGCCAAGCTAGGTAGTCAGGTGCACTACTCAAACTGAGAACCAGAGATTGTATTTCATAGCCATGCTCTCTCGCTGGTGAAAAACTGGCCTCTGCCAAAGGTTATCTCAATCAAATATAATCATGAGATAATGAAACAATCAATAAATGTGAATTTTCACACAAAATGAATATTGAAATGGAAAATACTATGATCAGTACTATCAGCAAATTTATTTGAAGAATTTATTTGGGCTTTGATCGCCTTCCAACTTCATTATTTGCCAACTCAGAGTAGGCACCCTGATTAGCAAAGGTAATTTGCAGCTCCAAGGTCAGATCTTGTTTCCCCATCCTCTGATAAACGTGAAGGAGGCCTAAAGATAATATAAAAATTCTGATGTCCCATCTCCTCTCCAACATGGAACACAATRTGTAAAGTTTTGGGGTTTTTCCATGCATACTAGACATGTGAAAACAGGCACAAAYGCCCACTGTTAATAAAGGCAGTGGTGTCACCTCCCTATAATATCAAACTGGGTGGAGAAATCAATGACTTCCAGGCCAGATCTAATGGATATTACCTTGTCACAGCACAGCTYGTGTCTTTGGCTTCCAAGCATCTCATACAGTTAAAAAGGCAGCACAGAATTGGAGGATTTTCAGCTAACAGATGGTTCTGCAAGTATTTTATTTCGGTCCCTTACGCTAAAATATGTTTCTCATTACTCCTGGCTGCGAGCAGACCTCACTCCCTACTCCTTTTTTTCCCGATGAAATGTACAAATATGGAAGTTTTTTGGGGAGTTTTGCAGATTTCAGAGCACATTTTTTACCATCCATCCCGGCGGGCAGGAGCACTCCCCGGTGACGTGGTGGCAGACACCTCCGTTCTGGCACGGGCACCTCTCCTCGCACTGCAGACCGTGCTTGCCAGGGGGACACAGGTCCTCACAGCTGTGCAGAGGGTGGGGACAGCACAGACACGCGTTACCACAGTCCCCAGACACCTCTTGGCTTTTTTTGACGGTGCTTTAATTCATTCCCCATTCAAAAGCATGGAGCAGAGAGCAGTGTGGCACATACATAGAGGTGCACACCGAGTTCTGAGCAGCATCCACGTGACAGAGCTAAGGAAACAGAGCTGGCATTCTAGGAATTACTCCTTCCCAAGACATTTCTTGTACACACAGTTTGGCATTCGTTCACTGCTGCTGACACAGCTCTGGAAYGACCAAGCCCAAACAACACCCATGTTTCAATGCCATTTCCCAAACCCRTGGCCAAACTTTTTCCACAGAGAACCCCCCGCTGCTCATTTCTGTGTGTTTTCACCGGTCTGGGTCAAGGCTTTTTCTCCCAGCTGCACATCTGATTGTGTCCTGCAATGGGTTTGCCCAAACCTGCTCACTCAACAGCATGGAAGTTCATCTAAACTCTTCAAAACTTGTATCCCCTCCTGCCACAAGAAGAAAAAAAATGCCACCGTGTCTGCTTACAAGGCACCAGTGTATCCGGGGGGACAGCGGCACTCTCCGGTGACGTGGTCGCAGGTGGCCCCGTTCTGGCACTGGCACTTCTGGTGGCAGCTGTTGCCATAGGAGCCGGGGTCGCAGCGCTCCTCGCAGCGCCAGCCCTTGAAGCCCGCGGAGCAGTGGCAGGCACCCGTGATGGGGTTGCACAGTGCCCCGTTCTTGCATTGGCAGCGGCTGCTGCAGTGGGGTCCCCAGTGGTCGCTGTCACATGCTGGATATGGCAGAGGGAGAGAAGGGAGGCAGTTTTAGGGTGGTTTTTATGTTACAGCACTGGGGGTGTGGCAAGTCGATGGTACAACAACAACAACGAAGTCATGAAATGGAAATTGTTATTCCTCCTTGGTCATCGGGGATTGTGGCAGGCAGACCAGACTTAATTTATACAATTTATGCAATTGACACTTCTTGAAAAAAGCCAACATTGTAAAACATAAGGCTGAGAAGCAAGTTAGAATCTCCTGATTCTCAAACTCTTTGTTTTGACTCTCCACCATCAAACTGTGAGTTTCCCTGTACAGAGGCAAGCCTTGCTGACTTTTAAAAATGTAGTCTGAATCCACCACGTGTCTGAATCCTGCAAAGAAGCTGCAAAGCTTACTCACACTTACAGTTTTTGACAAATCCAGAAATTCCTATTAGTTCATGTAATTGCAAATATTTCCTTTGCAATCTTGCAATATACTCATAGGAGAAAAAAACAAAACCCCACAAGAAGCATTTCACCAAGCAATAGGAAATTAACAAATACATGATTAAACTTCATCTGGATGTTACAAATTGGGTTATCCAATGCATCTTCATGATCATTTAAATCCATCTTTTCTTGTCTGCTCTAATGTACCATTAAAGCCCTATAAGCAAACCATTCAGAGGGTATTTCAGCATCAAAAGGAGAACTTAACGTTAAGGAAGAAATTTCATCCAAAGAAACACAGGGGTTCTGTAAAGAGCCAGAAGATTAAGGTCACCTGGAGTTCAACAGGAATGCGTTAATCATATGGTCAAATGACCTGATTTTATTTTTATGTTCTGTTGATAACAGCAGCACAATGGGAAAGCCTCAACTGCAGCGACCCTAAGCCCAGAATCCCCTCTTGGAGACTGACAACCATTGTTCCCCCCATCTTCTCCTGGGGCAAAAGAGCCAGGCAGAGAACAGCCACACTTTCCTAGACTAATGCAAAGTAATTCAAGAATGCTCCTCAGGGTAGGAATCATTCAGCTGTGAGAGCTGTTCACCCAGGCTACACAAATAAAAAGGAATTAGGGTCTTTTCAAGAATCTACTCCTTCAGGTTTTTTGTTTGTTTTGTTTTTTTGTTTTTTTGTTTTTTTTTTCCAGGACAGGTCACTAGAACATGCATCCATAAATGGAGATATTTTAAGTGCTTACAAACAATAAAATACAGCGAAACAGAAAATAGTGATATGTGTTATCAACACCCAGCAATACTACTGGGCTGTGAGAACAACTGACCATCTCATTACTGGCCTCTCTCTTYAAAGGTGTGTAGGTTTTGTGGTGGACAAACAATTTTTTAGGTACTGCTGTCTGGAGAAAACTGCATCTCACAAATTGCTTTTTGCCATGATAACTTGTAGCATTTTCAACATGTCTGAATAGAATATGATGTGTAATCCTCAKGCTCAAGCAGTCAGGAAACCAGCTGGTTTGGGGATATATAAAAATACATGTATGGCTGTTGAGATRCCCGAGACACTTTTTCTATCATGACTGAGCAGAAAACCCTATTTTTTTTCTTTTCTTTTGGGTTAAGATGAAAGAAGTCAGTCTGGGTTCAGATGAAAGTCTTCTTCCTTTCAGACAAAATTTCAATGTCTGCCATTACTCATGGAAAAATTAATTCATAAATAAAACAATCAATGAAACAAAATCAAAACAAAAAACAAAGGGGAAAAAAATCCAAAACAAAAAAAAAATCAAAACCAAAACAACCCCTGTCCCGGCACATCTGTTAAACAGGAGAATTCAAACTGATTGCCAGGCCACAACTGTTCCAGAGCAGAGCTCAGTCAAGGATGAGGGCAGCCAGAACATGCCCTTGCTACAAAGATGGGGCTGGCAAGAGAAGATTTATGCCTGATTTGTGCTCTTTCACYAGCTGCTGGGAGTGAGGTGTTTGGCGCAGCCAACAACATTCCTGCAGCTTCCAGAAGGCCCAGGGCAATGAGTCTGAGAGCCACAGAGACCTGAAACTTCTCCTCCTGAGCATCTGCCACTGCATCSAGCACCCAGCCCCACCCGGGGAGCATGAACCATTTATTATTTCCTGATATGACCTTCTTGTTATGTTTGCAGGAAATCATTGAAGTGAAAGCACTTCCTATGGCTGGCACTAGGATTTCCAGGCTCAGGACCACTCTCCCTGCAGGTGAATAACAAGCATTGACTCTGCAGACTTTCATTATATTCCACCAGGCCAGTGATGGACCAACCATGGTGCAGTTTGGCCACAAACCTTCACACAAGGCTTGTGACCACCTGTGACTTATGGGCAGAACTGTGGAGAAATGTGCATGATTAAGGGGAATAAATAATAATACTGAACAAGATTGATAAATCATGTATTTTACCTCTGTGTTGAGTAAGTTATAATCAATATTCTCCATAAGAAATTAGAGTGATTTCTCAGATACTGATGTTCAGTTTACTATTAAAAAATAAGGCAGCAAAGGGTAGAAATATGAACACCACTTCTAACACTGTGGTATTAACCACATCTCGTAATTTTTTCCCTTTTACACATTCTGTTTATCTGGGAATATCTTTTTTTGTGCCCACATTTTGCACTGTGCRTATCATACAATGCACCAGACACAGGAAGGAGATCTTTGCTCTCCCAAGGCTGCTCAGTGAAAGCAGGAGTTCRCCTCTAGAATAAAAGCACTGCATCATATAAAGATTGTTTAACATGAGTTCCGTGGTAAGAATCTCTAAAGCTCTGCAGGTCTACCAGGATAAAAATTCTTGAGGACACTGAGGGCCAAGTGACTTGAGAAACAGGGAAAAGATCAAGGAATCAATGGTGGAAAAAATGCTACCAATTTGGGGGCTTTTGTAGCATCTTTGAAGGTGCAACATTCTTTTCCATAGCATATGAATTGCTTGAAAAATAACTGTAATTCACATTATTATTATTGTGCATATTATTGTATGTTTTTGTACATAGCTTTTGCGAGCAGATGGTAATTGACAAACTGGGGTGGTGGGAGCACTGATATTTTAGTGTTTTTAATTATTTTTTTCCAAGAATCTGKAACATATGTGTAGAATTTAGCAACTACTTTATCGCTCGTTATAAACAAAACCAGTTTTAACTAAATATGGTCACACAATTGTAAGTTTTTTTCCTGCTTTTTAAAAACTTTTATTTCATTAAAGGTCAACAGAAAGAAAAGTACAAACAAGTCCCAGTTTATTCCTGACAAACACACCTTGATTACCTAAAATTCTTCACTTTTCTAGGGGTTGGCCTATAATAAGGAAAAAAATCAGATCAAGCCAAAGAACAGTTCTGAAGAAACACCTCMCTAGAAACTTTAACTTGCACCTATATCTTTTAATTATGCCTCAATTTCCCTTGTAACTCCATACTCAAGTCTGACAATGTTTACTGCAATACTATTTTTAAAGATCTTTCCTTTTTCTGCTATTGGGGAGGCAGAAGAAGTACAACAAAACTAAGATTTACTATCCTTGCTATCAGATTTTTGCAGGTGTCTTGTGTAGCACCAAGACAACTAAATGAGATTTCATTCTATCTTACCCATCTGTCTTCAAGACACACTGCAGTATGTTCCTGGAAATAAATACCAGTGTTTCAAAGCAGATGAGAGATTCTTATCACTTCATTAAGCTTATGTATTTTTATGGTCTTTTACAAAAACTGAAAATAAAATTCCCTACCACAGACAGCAGGGAGTGAACACTCTCTCCCTTGGAATGCAGTATTGCAAAGTATAAATTTAAAATAACCTAACACTGGCAAATACACATATTCCTATCTCTCTGACCTCAAAATTCACAACATAGTTTCTTCAAAAAGCTTTAAAAACTATAGCCTTTACTAAGTAAAGAATGTAAAACAAACTGAAGCTGCCCAAAGCTTTAACTTCCTTCCTTCCTTCCACACCTTCCTTCCACATCTTCCTTCCAGACCTTCCTTCCTTTCCTTCCTTCCATGCCTTCCTTCCTTCCGTGCCTTCCTTCCTTCCGTGCCTTCCTTCCTTCCGTGCCTTCCTTCCTTCCGTGCCTTCCTTCCTCCCTTCCTTCTCCCAATAATCAACAGAAGGGAAATCCATTGATTCTCTGAGCAAAAACCATGACAAAAACATAGATGTTATCATTAATCTACACTCACATCAGCCCAACTGGAAAGTTTAAAGAGTATTCTTGAAACTACATCTCTGCTATTTCCATCCGGTTAGCTGCCGATCTAAATGGATGGCATTTGTTCCCCTTCGGATATTCCTGCAGGATAGGAAATAGATAATAATTCTCCCAACTGGAATTTAAGCCAAGTAAATTCCTGCTGATTTTGAAAGCTATAAATACTCGAATGTGTTTAGAGTTTGACAAGATGCATTAAGCCCTTAGTGACATCAGCCTGGACAGCAAGACAGCAAATGTGGAACATGGCAAACAGAAATTTCAGAACATGGCAAACAGAGATGAGTCAAAAAAGCCAGGAAACAAAGCCAGCTACTCTGAAAACTAGAATTAAAACATCCTTTAGAAAACCTTCAATGTATTCTTTCATGAAACCATAGATTATTCTCTGTGTAATTTTTTTTCTTTTGCTCTGCTCTAGTCATCTCAAAATGCTATGAAAATACAGTCATATGCATATTAATTTTCTTTTTCCCTTCAGAGAATCACTCATAATATTTACAAAATACCAATGCCTTAGTGAAAGACCTACTTTACCTACCTATCCCAGACACAAAAATGCATGGAATTTTTTTTTCAGAATGCCATTTCTATTGGATCTGGAATTTTCTTTCAGTCTTTTGTTTCTATCTGATAGCATTTGTTATACTATAGGTCTTTTACCCTGTGGCATATCTTTCATTGTTACTTTTTGTTTTGTGTGTAAGAAAGGATCTTTATTCAAAATGCTAAGCTTAAATTTAATTCAGGGGTTTTTCTTGTTTACTTTGTAAAAGCCTTTTGATCCGTGAAGTGGAAGAA